ATTCCTTAAAAATATAAATTTCCAATATGTCCTACTCAAGTTCCAATGTAGAAAAAGATCTTCCTCTGGAATATAGAGGTGAACAAACAGTGAGTTACTGAGTTATTCAGATCAAGGTTTCAACACTGTGCCTGTTTTTAAGTCTTATCACCAAAGAAAATGATACACATGTCTCTTTGTGATCAAGCAGTCATGCAAGGCTCAAACAAACCACAGCCTGAGAACCTTACATTCAAAACTGGGATCTTTCCTATTCATATGTCCCAAGCATGAACCGCTGATTATAGCGTTAGTACTTCAGTATGCTCAAATCAAGAGAAACTGCACAGCACTTCCACTTAAAAAGTAGATTTGTCTTTTTACCTCATATTCCACAATCTTTATGCACATAGAGTGCCTCCTAATCACATGGGAAGTGTGGTTATTATCCTTTGCTCTACCATACCTAATATCATTGTTATAATACATAGGGCTCCTTGTTCTCTGCCACTCCAAAGGAAATGCACTGTCCATTGGCATTTCTAAAACATGATTCCTCAGGAAAATGAAAGTATACATTTCTATGGGATACAAAGATAGATAGATAGATAGACAGATAGATAGATAGATAGATAGATAGATCTACAAGCAAAAAATAGCTAATGAGAATACTGGCAGCTTCACAGTATCTCTAGTCTGGCATATTTGAGCACTATTCATGCTTCTCTGAAAAAGAATCAGTTATCTGAAATTTTTCACAACTATACTCATAGAAGTGAAATTATTTTATGTAAAACTAATGTATAATTTTTACTTTAAAATATGAACCTATAATAAATAGGTTATAAGCTAAACATCAGTTTTTACTGTAAACAAACAAAATGGGTATTTTGTTCTCCCTTTGGCTGGTCCCTTCAGCTTCAATATTATACATTCTGTCCTAATTCAGGATATATAAGCAGTCTGAAGGAGGAAAAAAATATCTACAATGAAAATTCTTACCTAGATTCTTTCTGCAGAATTCTCCTGAAGAAATTTCACACCTGACTCTAGGATAAAACTGTGTGGTGTGTCAGCTGACAGGCTCTTACTTATCCTTGGAAGTTCACTTTGTATTCATTAAAGAGCAGTTGCAAAATCTACAGCCAGTAAGTCACTTGATGACTCCTTGGTCTGTGCATACCACAGAACCTCCCAAGTCACCTAACCTCAGCAGAGAGAACTGTATCGCAAGGGAGCCTTTCCCATCACCCAAAACAAGTCAGCGCTCTATTTCTTTAATTATTAGGTAATAAATTGGAAATGTTTCCAGTCAATGAATAACAAAAGAACTTTCTTGACCAGAAAATGAATAATATCCTTATTTAAAATTACTTTTAAATTTAATATTCTATGTTGTCGTTTTATGATATTTGAAGTAGTATGAGGAAAAACACAAAATGGATATTTTTGTGATAGGTGTCTCTAAATCATCTCAATTTGAGTCTACAGACAGGCAACTGTGCCAGTTAGACACCCAATGGGAAAGCAAGACAGCTTTGAAACTGGGACAACTGGAAGAGGCTTATTTTTGAAGGATTATCTACAGCACTGAATTTGGATGTAGAGGAACTGCAAGGATGCTGCAGGAGCCAGAGGACAGACAAGGGGTGGTGTTACCACACCGGGCCCAAAGTAAGGAGAGGAGGCGTTACCCAAACTTAGAGAGGAGCAGAAATGGCAGAGGAGGCCACCAGGGGAGCAGCACAGATCATCACAGGACACGGCCAGCATGCAGTGCCCTTCCAGAAGGACCCAGGGAACAAACACTGGTCTCAATCTCCTCCCTCCCTCCCTCCCTCCTGTCCTCTGCCAACATTTCCCCTTAATCAAACCCAACTTAAGAGACAGAGGAAGAGGGTCCAGAGAGGTCAGCCTTCCAGAGCACAGAACAGAGTGGGCAAGGGTGAGAGCGCATCTGAGGCCAAGCAGAAGACATCTGTACAGACTAAGCACACACGCTCCTGTTAATTACAAAGCAGAAAGAATCAAGGCATGCACACATGGCTGGAGCAGACGTAGAGCCCCCCAGCACAGCCTGCCTTGTGCCCCAGGATCCTCACAAGATCTTGCTGAGAGCTGCTCATTTCTTATATCAAGTTCTATCTATATTCAAGAAGATTTTGACAAGAGCCCCTGGACACTATGCAAAAGATAGAGCAAACACTCTGCATTGTCTACATGCAAAACCAAACCAATGAAGATCTTTGTTCAGAGCAATGTCATGATTAGTTATTCATTTGGAAAGATTTCTTTGGTGGCATCGTGGACTTGAAATTAGAGGAGAAAGACAATGAAAGCTAGGAGACCACTTAGAAAGCTATTACAGCAATCCAGGAGGGAGATAAACTTAGTACTGTCATTTTGTGGTTTATATTTTTTAAAGTCCCTAGTGCCTAATACTTTGTGATATAGAAAGGATGGTACAAAATTTGTTCCTTCAATTTTGAAGTTTCTATATTCTCCCATTGACTTCTCTTGATTCCTTACCTCCCACAACCAATCATTCATCAAGGACTATTAGATCTGACTTTTAATATCTCTAGAACCTGTCCTCTAGTCTCTGCCAATGCTTTGATAGAGGCCACATTTATTACATCAACTAGCATTTCCAAACTATGCACAAATTGTTCTTGGGAATTCTATGAGGAGAAAAAAAAATAGATTTTTCTGGTCAAACAGCTTTGGGAAGGCGTGGGATGTACAAGTTTAAATAGTTTGCTTTGTAGAGCTTGTAGAATGCTTATATGGCCTGTGAATTCAAAGAGGGGAGTACATGAAGCAGCTCCCCTTTTTCACAGAAAACCCATTGACTGTGGTCCATGTCAGAATACTGATTGCGAAAAGCTGACATGAACACATAAATGTTTTCCTTCCATTTCTTTAAAACAATACTTGGTTTGCTGGCTTTTATGTACTTATTCTCCCAAAGGGCATTACATAGCATAAAGAAGAGAAAGCATGTGGCCAATTCTTGCAATTTGATTCAAGTTAGGAGAATAATAATTCATGGGCAACAGATTGTAAAGAATATGATGAGTAAAACCAAAGCTTCCTATACTCAGACTTGACAAAAGGAAGAAAGAGGGATACTGAGATTAAGTACAGAGAGTTTCAACATCAGAGGGGCCCTGAAAGGAAGTCGCAAGGTGCCACCCACTCAACAACCATGCTGAGCTCTGACAGGGGGAAAGATACCTGAAATCCTAGACAGTTTGGTGGGATCTTAGAATAAGGGGACAACATCTCTGACCTCTATCCACCAGATTCCTGTAACATACTCCATACTCTCAGTTGTGACAAGGCAAATTCTTCTAGACAGTGCCAAATGTCCCGGGGGTGGGGGGCAAAATCCCTATTGAGAACAACGGGTCTAGGTAGAGTCCTATAGAGTTTCTTCCTGTAGAGAGAGTTCCTTCCTGTCACAGAGTGGGTCGCAAGAAGCTGAATGAATCATTCTGGAAGATCCAGAGTGACCTACAAGGATTATGTCCTAGTACCAGCTGGAAAAAAACAAAACAGAATCTAAAGGCAATGGATGTCCCAAGGACAAGTGGTACATTTCCCAGATTCCTCTGCACTGCAGCTGTGGCAGGTAAGAACCCAGATTCGGGGGGCACACTGGAACCCAAGCTGCTCCGGTTCAAACCCTAAAAATCACTCGACTCTCTAGGCCTCAGTTTCCTCATGTCTGTAAGATAAATATATTAACAGTACATGCCCTAGGGTTACAATCGTAGGTAAATTGTGTAACATGTGTGTCCTTTGCATAATTAAGTTCTGAGTAGGTACTCTCCTTTTCTCTGTATAAACACCCCTGGGGATTAGATTTAAATTAGAGAAGAAGAGCATGACCCTGAATTGTAACTAAATTTCTACCACCAAGTCAAATGAGGTTCACAGTAAAAACTGAAATTCATAGAAAAATAAAGGGATTGGGGGGGGGGGTTATTGTTTGCTTGTGTGTGTTACTGGGGATTGAACCCGTGGCCTCTCCACTGAGCTACACGACCAGCCCCCTGCCTCTTTATTTTTATGTTTAATTTTGAGACGAAGATTCACTAAGTCACTAAGTTGCCCAGACTGTGATTCAACTTGCGATCCTTCTGCCTCAGCCTCCCAGAGTTCTGGGATTACAGCCATTCACCACCATGGCTGGCTGACAAAGTTATTTTTATATAACCAGGTGTGTTCAGAAATTTATCCTCATGACACTGTATCCCATCTAGTGCTCCTTGTCTCTGTTCCTCAGTGTGCCTCAATATCTCCAGGTGATCTTTGTATATCTCAAATCTGAGCAGATATTGGGTTCCCTACTATCCACAGCCATGTTCCCACAGAGAGGCCTGGAGAACTTAAGGGAATGTGAGGAGGACACAGCATGTGAACCTTTGGGGTGCTTCTCCACTGTGATCTATTTTATGTACTGAGTCACTGTGTAAGATTTTCCTTGAAAAATTACATGTGATCCTAAAAAGCATTTGAAAGTCATTGGCCAGCAAAGACTCCAGCAGGGGGCACTCAATGCCACCCACAAGCAGCCATCCTCCAGCTGCTCCCAGACAGAGACCTTGGGACCCAAAGACTACAGAGGTCCTGGGCCGTTAGAACCACAGTTTACACAGGAGATTTCATCTACTGAGAGTACCCTTCTCTATCTCCTGTAGACGGGAAGTCCTTCAAAGGATCTTTTGCTGAGAAGGTGCTCAGATTTGAGTTTTCGAAAGAAAACTGAAGGACGAGAAGCCTCTGCAAACTTTCGTGTTAAAGGGCCCAGATCATGTGCTGTAGGATTATTTGCAAAAGGTTGGACATATAGCCGCCTCTGACACCTCCCCCTTCCTACACGCACTCAGGTCCTTCCACAGCACTAGGATGCTCCAAAGCAGCAGATGATTGGGTCCACTGACCTTAGGAAGTTAACCTCTTTCTAAACTCTAAACTCTGAGTTCTTTTGTATGTTCCAGCTTACCTCACAAAGGTCCTTGCCACTCCTCCCTCCCGGGACACAGTCCCTTCCAGGGGCCCCTGTAAGACTACAGCCCATCTCTTCTAATTCAGGCAATTTCTGCTTTCTTCTCTGTGGTACTACTTTCCCTTGAGGCAAGGGGAACACCAGGAGCCTGGCTACCTGCAGGGAAAAGGCACGTAGAGTAAAAACATCCATCTCAGAGCAAATGACATCCCCATCTGGCTATGCATCTCGGTGAGCCACAACTTCTTGCTTCACATTTTTCTTTTTTTCCCCCATTAAGTTTATTGGTACATCTTAGGTGTACAGTACAGTTACATTCATCATTGGGATCTTGTACCATTACATGAGTATCTTGGTTCTTATTTTTTTCCCCTTCCCCTGCCCTCCATTTTCACATTTTTCTTGATAAATTTAGTTTTGTAATCAGAAAAATTTAGCTGAAGAAAGGCTTAACTGGGACACATATCTCTTGAAGTACTATTATTCAAGTTAAATACTGAGTTATATGATGTACAGTTATATATATGCTATATCATTACCTATCAGAAAGGCGCACCTTGCCCAGGATCTGCCTTTCCCTTTTCCAAACCTTCAACATGGTTCATTCAGTGACAGAAAATACTGCTGCGTCCTCAGGAGGGTCACCATTCATTGCCTTCATTCGTCCATATGTCTACCTTTCAGGGTTCAATGCCACAACCCATCAGATGTCCTCTCCTTCTCTGTCCCATTTGGCAGCCAGTCTCAAGACTGCTGCTGCTTCTCCATCTGTCAGACTCAATCTACCTTCCACATACAGGCAGGGCCAGGAGAGTGGGCTGAGTAAAGAACAATGAGGGCAGGCCAGCTTCACCCTGGATGTGATCTCCTTTGAAGCAAGAAGGAGTCCTAAAAACATGGAAAATTCCCCAACAAGGACTTACTTCTGGCTTTGCAAGATTCTAGCTAGAGCTGTGCCTCCAGCCTGGGACGATAACAACCCTACAAGGTAAACAGCTTTCGTAATGTCTGCCCAGCTACCAGGATTCCTCTTAACCCCCAGAAAGAGGGGAAGAGGTAGCAGCCATCTTGAACAATTCCCTATGATGAGCCCAAACTCTTTGTTTTAGTGGATTGATCCAGAGGTGATGCCTGCTCCAAGCTGGGCGATTAGATGAAATGGACTATGCCTGCAGAGCCTCCTTGAAAATGGACAACAACAGAAACTGCCTCTTCTACTGGCTAGTCATATGACCTCAAGTAAGGACTTTAACCTCTCTTGACCTGTTTCCCCATGTGTAAAAATATTTTGGACTAGATGGTTTTTCTGCTCTTGCATTATATTTTTCATGATGAAGATGGGTTCCTGAGTAGGTGAGTCCTTGCTTCCAGACCAATTCTATCAGATGCTACACTCTCATGACTTAAACTCAACTATCTAAGTAACAGTTCCATCATCTGTGAAATGAGGATGATGATGAAGATAGTGACTAATATGTTATTAAATGACAGAGTGCATGGTGAATGTTCAAAAGATCACTGGCTTCTGGTTGCTGCGATTGTAATTATTGCTACATAAACCAGACTTGAAATTAAAGGAAAGGCAGAAAGAAGGAAAAAGAAGACCAATATGAAAATATCATAACCATCTAGCCAGAAGAATAAGGAGATCAAACCATTTGGCTTCTCAAGTGCATAAAAAGGTGGAGGAAAGGAGGAAAAGAATCAGCATGATTCTTTAGGCATGTAGAAATGTAAAGCGTGTTTAACTGTGGCCTGAGGACAGAAAGTAACACTATCTAATATAAAGGATCATCCATATACAAACAGAATTGGGTAAAATCACAACTCTGGCATGAGTAATAATGTCTATATTAAACTTGAAGAACCATGTTCAAGACTTACTTTGTCCCATTGTCTTTCTTTGTAACCTCGTCTTGATGACATTCATATATCTGGCATATTCTTCCCTTCTTAGGTAAGGTGCATAACACTCACTACTCAAACACTATACAAAATGATGATTCCAGATCCAATTGATTATCTCAGTCTAGAAACTACTCCAGTACCCTAACGGTGACAATGCTGTAAGATGTTCAGAAGAATACACTAGCATATCCATATAAGGTATTTTTCCTTGTAGACATACTATTATCTGACAGCAAGTAACTGACATAAATTTACTTAAATATGCACCTTTGTCCCAGTTCAATGGCACAAAATGACAAATTGAAGACTGATTAAATATAAAATAGGAAAAAGAAAAAAATATAAAGAACAACCTAATGATGCACACTGTGGTGTAATATAATGCGTGCCTCATGAAATGGAAAGTTTGAACAGTATATGGGCTGTGGTTATGAAGGCAGTTAGACTCAGGGTGCTAGGCAGGGACAGAGGTGTTAGTCTAAGAGTAAGTGCCACTAAAATTGATGGGGACAAGGATCCGTGATGAAGTTGTCATCCAAATGGCATGTCATATCTGCCTCTCCATAAAAGAACTGTGTGGATCAAATGCATCATGCTTTCAAAAGCACTTTTGTAAAGATCTGCAGGTCTCACTCCATTTTCTGGACATGTACATGTAAAGTAACATGTACAAACAACCCCTTTAGAGGCAGTCACATGAGGAACTCACAAGAGTCTCACTATTTGGGAATCCTGAAGACCTCCTAAGGAATGCCAGAACTAAATCATCCATTTTTGCATATTTCTGACCTGATATCAGGGCCCCCAGGATTCAAGGTGTGCTCAAGGTAGCCCTGGATATTTCAGAACAGAACAAGTCACTGCTGTCTCTGTTCCAATTATCTCGAAAGTATCAAAAGTTGACATGTCATGTGGCTGGCAGCACTTTTTCAAAGCCAATTTGTTCTTTTTTAAGATGATGAACGATAAAGGGAACATTTCAAAGATCCTCTTCTTAGGCGACATTCTCTCCCTGGGCAGAGTAGTGGCCAAAAAACATAGTTTTACTTGACTATGGAAAGTCATCTCATTGGAGGAGCTGGTTTCTTTCTGACTATAAAAATGGTAATTAAAACATTTCTATGCCCCAAATTTGGTGCTATTCAGTTACTTTTATGTTTATATTTCAAAGCCATATTCTTGTAAAATATCTAGGCCAACAGAACGTGGTTCAGTAGCCTTAACACCTGAAGTCATTTCCGAAACAGAGGTACAAATTTAATTTAAATTGTACTAATCACTCAGATGTCTGGTCAGATATGTTGCCCACTTTCCCTGTTATATTTTCAAGTGGGAATTTGCTGATACAAAGTGGTGACATTCCAAAGGAGTTTGCTGAGAAGCAGATACCGTCTTGGAGACAAGCATTTTATATCCTGCTTATTTATGATTCTGAATAGCTACTCTACTTGTGTGGGGAAAATATTCTTTCTGTTTTATTTCACATTCACATTCTAGGAATCTGTACTGGGGCACCTCGAGTAAGATTTCCCTCCGAAGACTGGCTCTTGGTGAACCCAGAGGGCCTGACCTTGCGCCAAAAGTATGAAAACCCTGTAGCAGAGGCAGGAGGCCCCACTAAATTACTGTAGGCCTCAGACTTTAATGTCCAGATGAAATACTGGGGGCTTAACATGGAGATCCTGGCCCCACAAGTCAGCAGTAGGGCCCAAAGACTACATTTCAGCAAGCTGTGGAGCTGCTGATCCACAGAGCCATCTTGAGCCCATGGAAGCCAGTGTTCTTCACTGAGATGCCAGGGCTGCTCTGCCACCATCCCGCTGTGCCACTCTGTGCCATTATGTCAATTGATGCTTCAGTTTCCTCCTCTTTGTAACTAGGCTGGGAACAAAGGTTCTTACCAAATTCAGAGTTGAAGCACTCTGCCAAGTTTAACGGGCTACTCAATCAACAGTCTTTAAAATTACTGATAATTAGGTGAGATTGTACTCATTCCCAAATAGGTGTTTGTTCAGAGTTCTTTCTGTAAGATTGTACACAGAAAGGATACACATACATGTTACAGTTTTTGTATCATCTTAGGGATTTAAAAACTGTGCCATATCCAGTTATATACGTAGATTGCTCACACAAGAAATCCTAATTGATAATTTTAAACCAAACATTTGTAGTTTTGTTTGCTGCATGGGGCTTTGCTTTTGTAAACCTAACAGTTTGTCTTAATTTCTTGATCTGGGACACATTTAATCATAGTTAAATTTATACCTAACAGTCCTCATGTCATTTCAGAAGAAATGAAATTGGCCCAGAAAAAGTACTGTAACTTTTGTTCATTTTTTTCCAAAGGCAAATATTTCAAAAATTGAACATATGAGTAGGCACTTCAAGAAAGAGAAAATATTTTATGTTTGCTTTTTGACTGAAATGCTATAAAAGGATTATATTTGTGAGAGAAAATACTGATAGTCAATATTCCAAATACCATCTTGCAATGTATAGTTTTTAGTGATATTGTAGAATAAAGCTGTAACTGGAACTGTTACTTTGGAATGTAAAGTAGAAATATTAGCTATATCAATGATATCTTGCAAAGTGTTTCCATTTATAATTATTTATACTGTCAATAGCTTTCTGAAGTAAATTTGAAGTTAATGTGGATAAAATGTATTTATTATGTGACGAATTTTTTGGTTTAAAATATAGTTACCATTATGCAAAAAAAATTACTGATAATTACCAGATAATTCTTCCTCTAAAACCAAACTGGGTGTACCACTTCTGCTACAGGTTTTCTGTCCCGCTGGGCACTCCGGCCTTATATTCTCCATGAGAGCGCTGCTCTGCTACCTGCGCTCCGGCCAAACACAGCAGATAACCTGCCTTCTACACAGTCCCTTCTGAAAGCCTGGACTAGAGTGCAGAGCACAGAGATCCCCTTGGTAACTCCTCTTCCCCAGCCCCACACTGCATTGGGTTAAATCCTAGGGAGGAAAACAAGACAATCTCTGCATCTATTGACTGAGTTCATAATTTACAGAATTTTCTCTTACATTTCACCTATGACTACCTGCTTATTTTACACGACAAAAGGCCAGTAGAGGTAAATTATCTAATATCACAATTAAAAATCATGTATTTAATTTCCAGTTTACTGTGACTGCTTTATTCTACATTGGAGGAAATTTTCCTAATCCTTTCTTTTTTGGCCAAGTTCTTACAAGTCACTGCAGCCACTCTTGGTTTTGTGGCAGCGGGTGGCAGTGGGAGAGTGGGGAAAGCCACAGGAGCTTTCCTCATGGACAGAGTAGAAGGGACTGGAATCAAGTAGCAGGAGCCTTACCAGGAGGCCACTCCTCCTTTGTTCCCTCGGAGAAGACTCAGAAACGAATAACTGAAGTACTCACTAGGCCTACATATGTACCCCAGAGATAGTGCGATCTATTTAATCCACCTTAAACAGGATAGCTTTTTGAAAGTCAACTACAGCCCACAGGCCACACTAATTAGTGTTTGCCATGATCTCGAACGGCTTGGATGCAAGGTCCATGATGTCACACACCTTGAGGAAGAAGGCTGTGAGCAGAAGGGCATGCCAAGAAGCGAGGTCTGGACCAAGGAGGAGATTGTCACACATGAGAGGAGCCAGCCTGGACGCAGACTGATTAGCTATGAAAGAGTGGTCATGGGAACCAAGCAAAGAATGAATTATGGAGCTGTGTGGAGAGAAATGGGCTCAGGGCAGATTTATTATGCTCCATTTCCACTCTGCTAGCAGGCTGCAGAGTCTCAGAGGTACAGATTTACTCAAGACTAAAATTTTACATCCAGGGATGCTATCTCAAATAATCTAATTTGGTGAGATGAGAAAATCATATCTTATAAAACCATCACCCCTTTCCAAAAGCCTTATAAAAGTTTACAGGCTGTTGAGGTGTCTAGCCATAGCATGAGCTTCTATGATAGGCTATACAGAGACGATGGAGTTAAAGATGAAATTATTTTAATAAGAGATGCTGCTACTCAGTATGTGCAGTTTGTTCTTTACAACCCAAACTTCATAAATTTTTATAAGGTATCTATTTATTGTCAGGCTCGGGAGCTGCTGTGTCACTGTCATTCAGTCAAAGCTTTTTCAAATAAAGGAACCTTTATCTGGGTATGATACATGGTATGCTATTACGATGTACAGCCCCACACCCACTTCTAGCATCTTCTCAGCAACAGTTATGTCTTCTATTTGAATGTTAAAATAAATACATTCCCAACTGCTCTGAGATGGGCTGCTTGCTCTTTGGGGTGCTGTGGTTGAAGAAGCCGATGCCTCAGGAGGGAGGGACCTTGCCTGCCCTCCACTAATTCCAGATGGGGAGGAACGATGTTCAAGATCACAACAGTACCCATGCCAAGGAAGGACTTGTGTGCAATTTAGGACTTGTGTGCAGGCCTTTCAGGAGTTAAAGAAAAGAAGAGGAAAGAGAGGTGACTATTTCCAAATAACAGCAGCTATCATTTTCCAAGTCTGCCATATATTTCAGGCACAGGATACACGCTTCATGTACATTATCTCATTGAGTCTTTGCAATCCTATGAGACATATAATATTACACCCATTTTACAGGAGAGGAATCTTCTGCTTAGAGACATTTGCAGTTGCCCAGAGCCACACAGCAGGGACTGGATCTGGACGTTTCAGACTACAAGCAGATGGCAACACGCTGGCTTCTTGGTCATGTGAAGAATATTATGTAGCGGGAAAAAGACTTCAGGAAACTTTTGAAAAGAAAAGAGATTACAAATCACAGAATTTAAAATCAAAGGAGTTTCTGAAAATCATCTTGAAAGAAACAGTGAGGTGGTCCCAAGTTAGGGGCTGCAGCTAATTAAAAGCAGGAACAGTCAACAAGCTCATCCTACCACCAGTGCTGCAGAAGGCAACATGCCGAGTGGGGGACCCC